TATTGAATCAACTGCTAATTCTACAGTTAAGAAAGTTGGTTCACTATTCTGTGCTAGAATTTTTCTTGTCAAAATATATCTTACATATTTATAAGACTATCATTCGTCATTGCTTGGAATATTGCTACCACATTCGGGACTGGTGCTCGAACCATATATTTAGATATTATTAATAAAACCCAAAGAAGAACCTGCAATATTATTGCTCCTGATCTGACATCTCAGCTTTAGTAACTCTCACACCGATATATATATATATTGAGAGAGAGAGAGAGTTATCACCAGTTACCAACCATCGCCCGAGGAAATACAATAATAGTATTGAAACATGAAAGATTTTGTGTAGCGACGTAAAATGTCTTTATTATAATCTCGTATGATAAAATTATATATATATATATATATATATATATATATATATATATTGGTTTATACACACACACACACACACACACACACATATATATATATATATATATATATATATTTGGTTTTATACAGAGACGATGGTCTTATGGTTATTAGAAACTCTACTAACTTTAAAATAGATAAAATTAGAAAAGTATTATATAAAGAATTTAAAAGCCTGAACTTTAAAATTACGGTTAGCACTAAATTAAAAAAAAGTGAACATTAGATTAAAAGAAAAATACATACACACCTTATAAAAACCCAATACCAATCTTTTATATATGCATCCTAAATCAAATCACTCCCATCTATAATTAAGCATATATCTATCTATCCAAAATAAAAGTACAAATTTAGCAAATGACAAGATTTTCGATGAACATATTAATTTCTATAATAAAGCTCTAAAAGACAGTGGCTACAAAAACCCAAAACTAACATATATATATTAAGAGCTAGTTAGTCGTTGCTTTGAAATTTTTCACGCAACAAAAACAGACTGTCCCGTGTAGCGGTTGATATGTTGAAATTGTCATCTTTGATAATGGCTAATGTAAGTCGAAAGCTTAGATTGGATTTAAACATGTATCAATATAGTGTTTTCCTTTCGTCTTTCAATGATAATGTTATTAAGCTTATCAGACAATATGAAAGGAACTTGTTTAAAATAAATAGACAAAACTTGTCTATATTATTTAATGAAACATGCATCAATATATATATATATATATATATATATATATATATATATATATATATATATATATATATATATATAGCATGTAACAGCAAATTGTCCAAATCATGTAACATGGAGTAATTGTATAGCCGACAGAATCTTTAATACCTAAAAAACCCACTAAACTAGTTTCTTTGTTCCAGGATCTCTGATATGACGCTTATCCATCTTGACACCGAAAAATCCTTTGAGTTATTCAGTTTATTCAGCCTATGTTTTCCCAACTGAGCAATAGGGAGAGGATAACGATCATTCAGACCTTCAGTAACGGTACCAGCATTCATACTCTGACTGGAAATAGTGGAGATGAAAATTCTATCATGAGGTCGAAACAGCAAGAGTTATCATAATTACAACTTAAAACTAAATACCTTTCTTAGTGTTCAAAACAGAGTCCAATAATGTTATAAAAACCTCGGAGTATTCCAGTAAGATATGTTTAATCATTTCTAAGATACAACTGTGAAAAGCTTAATCTAACAAATGGACAGTTTTGCTGTTGCATCTGGTATATATATATATATATATATATATATATATATATATATATATATATATATATATATATAAAAAAAAAAAGAACAGTAAGATATATAATCCGGTGTTCTTATAGATATTTTTATTTTTACAAAATAGTGCTCAATGTAAATTTACAGAGCATTAATAATTGTAATTGTCATAAATTTTACCTAAATAATATTTAAATATAAAATTTTAAAAATCGTAATATACATACTTATACTTGATATGGAAAAATAATTTTACTTACTGTAAGTAATTCTAATACATTTACTTCTTTTAAAAAGAAATATAGTCTATTAAAATTAACAGTGAAAATATTTTAAAGTTGTATTTAAAATTGTAGTTAACTAAAAAGAATTCTAACCTAAACATCTTTTAAAATTGTAGTTAAATAAAACATATTTTAACCTAAACACCTCTCTCAAAGTACTACAAGCACTTAAAAGAATCCAATAAAACACCTACAGTAAAATGAAATTAATATGAAAAGCTAGAATATGTAAGACATTGAATGACCGATGTCCTTTGTACTTACATGAGAAACAACATATTACTAGGTTTATATAAAAAATAAAAGTTTACTAAATCAGTGAAATTAATTAGCTATTATTGCCGTCATTGTCATAAATTTTACTTAAATAATATTTAAATATAATTTTTTTTAAAATTGTGACCTAGTAATATACATACTTATAATTGATGTGAAAATAATTACTGTAAGTGATTCTAATACATTTACTTGTTTTAAAAAGAAATATAGTATATTAAAAATTAAAAGAGAAAATATTTTTCAAATGTAGTTAAATAAAACGTATTCTAACTTAAACACCCGCCAAAAATCCTTAAATATACAGATAGAAAAAAATGCCGTAAGAATTTTTGCCGTTAACAATAAAATTTTTAAAAAATCCAGACGACATGCATTTAACGGATGTCAGAATTCATTGAAAAATACACCCCTACCCCTACCAAAACATAACTAATAACTGATACATCAAAATACATATATAATGAACACGCAAACACCCCTCGTCTGGTTGAAGTGGATTTCTCTGGATCCTTGGAAATGTGAATATATGATTTTTGCTGTGTCTTTAAAACCCAGTAATTTTCAAAGTTACTCCAAAATTCGCTTGAGGATGAAATGGAACTAATTTAATTACAAAATTAAATTCGACGCTTTCAGCTTCCATTTTTGAAACATGGTTAGGACTGTGTAGCGAAAAAAGCATATTTAAATCAATTAATTTATTATATATATATATATATATATATATATATATATATATATATATATATTTTATTAACCCTAGAACACTAACCATGGGTATATAGTATCCAGTGCAAATTTTCCTATTTTTAATTACAATTTTCAGTACCTGATTTTCTTACCTAAATAATATGTTTTTCAGTTCCTATTAATGTTAACTCAAAGTACAAAGTTTGAAGTGCCTGCATGTAAAATATTTCAAATAAAGATTTATATTTAATATTTTCTTTTATATTTTCAAAATCGGGTATGATTAGTAGTGGTGTAACTTTAATTGATGATTAGTTTTCTAGACTTAAGTGTCTTTTGGTTAAAATGTTTTTTTAATAATACCACTTCTTTTATGTATCATATCCTTTCAAAATGTGGACAATCATGACTCTTCACGATTTCTAGTCTTTTGGTATTTGCAGTTGGACTAATGTCCCCATCTTAGTTGTTATTATCACAATGTTCTAGTTTTTGTTCCTTCTGGACTTGTTCAAGTGTGTGTTATTGTGTGTAACTTTTAGGGAATTTCGAATTGAAAAAGTTTATAAAAAATTCTATAGTTGGAATTTGGGATAACTGATTGATGATTCTATAAATCTCAATCAATCAATCATTTCCAAATTTGCCATAGTCAGTTCCCTAGACAAATCCATCAAGTATTATGTTGATTCTACCTACATACCAACTCCTTGACCTTTTGTAAACACAAGTTTCTCTTTCATCAAACCCTGGTCTCTTCTCAAAATTTAGTTTTTCTCAAAATAAAGGATTTTATTTATATCAGAAAACTTTGATGTATTTTTGGTCTACTTGTAAAA